TTAAAGAAGATCACTCTGGCCGCTGTGTGGAGAATGACAGTCCATCATCTTTGAATCTTAGAATGCCAACAAAAGGTACTGTGAACAAGCAACCAGTGACTTAGAATGAAGACCACCAGGAACTTATCCAAAGAGGCATGAGAATAAAGTGTTAAAAGAAGAAAATGCAGTTAGCCGAGCACAGTGGCTCACGGCTGAAATTCCAGCACTTTGGAAGGCTGAGGCAGGCAAGTCACCTGTGGTCAGGAGTTCAAGAGCAGCCTGGCCAACATGGTGAAACCTCATCTCTACTAAAAATATAAAAATTAGCTGGGCGTGGTGGCACACACTTGTGATCCCAGCTACTTCGGAGGCTAAGGCAGGAGAATAACCTGAACCCGGGAGGTGAAGATTACAGTAAGCCGAGATTGTGCTACTGCACTCCCTGAGACTCTGTCTTAGGAAAAAAGAGAGAGAGAGAATGTAGTCAACTGTGTAGCATCCTGCTTAGTGATTAAGATGCACTCATGCAGTGCATAATGATATTTCAACACAATGGTTGTCCCATTAATATTACATTACCATATTTTTACTGTACCTTTTCAAGATATATTTAGAGGTTTAGATATATTTAGATATACAAATACTTATTGTGTTACAGTTGCCTACTGTATTCAGTATAGTCATATACTCTACACGCTTGTAGCCTGGGAGCAATATGCTATACAATATACTATACGTATGTTGTAGGCTATAATAGTTTAGGTTTGTATAAGTACACTCTATGATGTGTGCACAGTGATGACATTGTCTAATGATGCATTTCTCAGAACGTATCCCTGTCATTAAGAGGCACGTAATAATGTAATATATAAAAAGGAATTAGCTATTGGATTTAGTATCCAGGTTATTGGATGGAGACCTTCTGAAAAGGAGTTTTGGTAGAGTAATCAATAATAGCAATCCTATTAGAATTAGTTAAGGACTGAAAATGGGAAAACAGCAACTAGAGAAAACTCTCTAAAGAAATTTGCTGGGAAGATTTTTGTGTAAATATAGACAAGCTTACCCTAATATTTATATGGGAAGGCTAGGATAGCTAAAACAATTAGTAAAGTAAGTGGGAAGAATCAGTCTATCTGGTTATTTAGCCTCAGTAATGAAGACAGTATGGTAATGGAGGAGACCTAGACACATAGGAGATTAGAAGAGAAAAAGAACCCAGACATAGATTGAACTGTAGTATGGCCTGCAGGTTTTTAACAGAGGTACGAAAGCAATTCATTAGGGGAAGGTTATTACTTCGGTATTTCCAGCAAATGGTACTAGAGCAATGGACATTCATAGGCAAAACTGTAAACCCCTACTTAAAATTCACAGTTTGTGCTGAAATTAACTCAAAATATACCATCAGTTTAATAAAACCATAAGGTGGCCGGGCACAGTGGCTCATGCCCGCAACCCCAACAGTTTGGGAGGCTGAGGCATGCAGATCATCTGAGGTCAGGAGTTCGAGATCAGCCTGGCCAACATGGCAAAATCCCGTCTCTACTAAAAATACAAAAATTATCCAGTGTGGTGGCATGCACCTATAGTCCCAGCTATTCAGGAGGCTGAGGCAAGAGAATCTCTTGAACCCTGAAGGCAGAGGCTGCAAGAGCTGAGATCATACCACTGCACTCCAGCCTGGGCGACAGTGGAAAACCCCGTCTCAAATATATACATATATTTATATATAACATTCTTGGGCATACATATATATATATGTAGAAGAAAAATCTTTGGAACATAAGACTAGGTGAAAAGGCTGGGCACAGTGGATCACTTGAGGTCAGGAGTTCGAGACCAGCCTGGCCAACATGGCAAAAACCCGTCTCTACCAAAAATAAAAACTTAGCTGGGTGTTGTGGTAAGTGCCAGTAATCTCAGCTACTCGGGAGGCTGAGGCAGGAGAATCATTTGAACCCAGGAGGTAGAGACACTGAGACCCTATTTAAAAAAAAAAAAAAAAAAAGACTAGGTGAAGATTTCTTAGACAAAGCACTAAACACATGATATGTGAAAGAAAAAAATCATTAAATTAATTAGACTTTCACAAAATTAAAAACTTCCTCTCTACAAAATACCTTCTCAAGAGAATGAAAAGACTAGCTACAGACTTGGAGAAAATATTTACAAGCCAATGTGTCTGACAGTGGACTTCTGTATAAAAATAACTTTCAAAAGTCAACAGTCAAAAAAACTAACAATCCAGGCCGAGCACAGTGAGGTGGCTCACACCTGTAATCCCAGCACTTTGGAAGACCAAGGTGGGCAGATCACCTGAGGTCAGTAGTTCAAGCCAGCCTGGCCAACATGGCGAAAACCCATCTCTACTAAAAATACAGCAGTTGGCTGGGCGTGGTGGTGGGCGCCTATAATCCCAGCTACTCAGGAGGCTGAGGTAGGAGAATCGATTGAACCCAGGAGGTGGAGGCTGAAGTGAGCTGAGACCGCACCGTTGCACTCCAGCCTGGGCAACAAGATCAAAACCCTGTCTCAAAAAAACCACAAAAAACAAAAAACTAACAATCTAATTAGAAAGTTGACAAAAGAGATAAACAGACATTTCACCAAAGAGGATGTGCAAATGGCAAATAAACACATGAAAAAATGTTCACCGTCTTAGCCACAGGGAAATATAAATTAATATGATGATGAAATATTACTATATGCCCTCTTAGAGCTACAGAAATTAAAAAATAGTGACAGCATCCAATGCCAGTGAGGATGCAGAGAAACTGGATCTTTTATATGTTGCTAGTGCAAATGTCAAGTGATAGACCCACTCTGGAAAAAGTTGGCCAGTTTCTTACAGCTATACACTTACCATATGACCCATAAATAACATTCTTGGGCATTTATTTCAAAGAAATCAAAAGTTATTTCCTCATATAAACCTGTACATGAATATTCTTAAAACTTTTTCTGTTATAGCCAAAAACTGGAAACAACCTCGAATGTCCTTCCCTTGGGTGAATGATTAAACAAATTATGGTATATACATACCATAGAATGCTACTCAGCAATGAAATGGAACAGACCAGGAATACATGCAACAATTTGGAGAGGACCTCAAGAGCATTATGGTGAAAGAAGTGTTAAATGACAGTTTCAAATGGCAGCATACTACATGATTGTATTTATGTAACATTCTGGAAAAGAAAAAAGTATAAACATGGAAAACAGATTATTGATTTGATTAGGGACTATAGGGAGTACAGGAGTGATGCAGTAGTTCACTATTGTGTTTGTTGTGGTAGCTACAAAATCTATACATGTGATAAATTGTAGAGAACTATACATACATGCATACACAAATAAGTGCATGTTTAAAAAAAAAAATCAACCACACAATTGGAAGTAAAACATCCTCAGAAAAGATTAAAAAAAAAAAAAAAAAAACCCTGAAATCTGAATAAGGTCTGTAGATCATAATACCCAATGTCAATTTTCTGGTTTTGCTATTACACTGCAGTTACGTTAGATAATATCATTAGGGAAAGCTGGGTGAAAGGTACTCAGGACCTCTCTGCACAGTTTTTTAACTTCCTGTAAGTCTATAATTATTTTAAAATAAAAATTTTAAAAATAACCCAAAAAAGGAACAGGAATAGTTGGAGAAATGTAGGATTGAGAGTGGGGTTTTTTGCTTTATTTTTGCCCTTTTTTTTTTTTTTTTT